AGGAGTATTCTAACGCCTGTGGATGCAGCGGGAGACGCATCAACAATTATATAGCTACTTTTGAATAAAAACAAAAAAAAATCATTTGCTATTGTGAGATGGTACTTGCTAAAAGGAAGTACTTTGTTTACATTGAAATGAGAGGTGAGAAGTAATTTTGTACTTGGTTTTGGTTGGAGGGGGGGAGGGTGAGAGTACATTTGTTTCAGGAGTGTTGGGATTTATTTTACCTGACTGTCTGAACGAGTTCCTTTGCTTTGCACGCACTTTGAAAGCTGGATTAAAAAGAAAAGAGTGATTTTTTCGGTGAAGTTACGAAATTAAAACACCATATTGGTCAGTGTTGGTTAACAAGTACACAAATATAAAACCACCAAATGTGCCATGATGTTGTACTTACCAGATACTGACGGCAATCATGTGAATAATCAGGCCGAGAATCCTCGCGAAGCAGATTAGCTGTATATAAGTAAAATGAATTCTTGGCAATGGGGTATTTAGAGTTTGGTTTTGGATCAACCTCTTTTATAATCCCTGAATTAAATTTTTCTTTATTCTCATCCCATCTCATATAATATGATATTTAACAATTATTCGACGAGCGCTCGTTGGATATAAGTTGATAGATAGCCAACGAGGCGCGTAGCGCCAAGTTGGTTATAATCATCTCATATCCAACAAGAGCAAGTGGAATAATTGTTTTATTAAAAACGTTAAGTTAAGTTCTTAAATTTTATTAAATTTTTAGCTCCCTTTTAATTTTAAGCTGACACGTACGCTTGCCGTATTTGTAGATTACGGTATATTCGCTGATATACCATAATGGCTAAGCCAATAAAAAGTCTTGAATTGCATTATCCAATGTCTAGTTTTTAATAATACTTTTTATTAAAAAAATCTTCTTAGGCACATGGAGCGATATATCGGCGATAGATCGGAAGAACTAAGCGTGTTTATCAACGATAATCATTTAAATTACTTTTGCACAGTATTATAAGCTGCACTTGAAAGATCTAATTGCAATATAACACACTTTCCTGGCTCTATAACATGATAAGGCAACGCGGAATGTTGGGCAAATACTTTCCGATTGCGTACTTTGATCATTATGTTATAAATATCAATATTTAAAGGTTGGTGAACCTCACCGTTATAAGAAAGTAGAACAGGGAGTCCAATATTGCAGTCCATCGACTTCAGCTTCATCACAGATTTACTTATGGCGTAACAGCGGTCGGGCGGTTGTCTACCGTCCAATAGTCCCCCTAAGGGTACCTGTACTGAGTTGTTAGATGAAAGCCCCCATTGGAACAAACCTCTGTCATTGATTCTTAAAGCAGTCCAGTGGGAAGAATCAAGGGATAACTCGGTTTGCGCGTCACAAAGTTGTTCTATACTCGAAACCCTTGCAATACTTGAATATTTACTAACAGCTGCATTCCAAGTACAGTTACAGTCTCCAATTATTTCGTAGACCATGTTAGAGGAGTAAGTTTCTGAAAAGCGGTAGAATTTTGTTGTAAACCTGGTAGTCCGGAAGCCAGGACTGGAAAATTGAGGTTTCGTATAACCCACGAGTTAGATAAGGTTTGATAGTAGGTTTAGATACAGGAAGACCTGTTGATTAACGCTAGATAGTTTGTAAAGTCAAATTGGGATACAGGTTTTGAGTTAAGAGGGTGTTTTCGTGGATAAAGCACTGTTCAGCATTAAAACGAGGCTGACTTATTTCACAGGATTCCCTAGCCTTCTGACCATGATTTTAAAACTAGACTTCTCGTGTGAAGTCAGTTTTTCATATTAGGAACTTTGCTCACTCTATAAATCCGTAGAATATGTACCGTGACTGGTCATGTGACTCTAAATATGCAAAAACATGGCAGGACGGAAAATGCGTGCACTCTAAGTACCTCCCGTTGTCCCATACAAAGCCTTAGAAAACTTTTTTAAGGCTTTGTATGGGACAACGGGAGATACTTACAGTGCATGCATTTTCCTTCTTGTCATGACTCTTAGGTAAGTGCTAATTACTATAGTTTACTTTCATTTACAAACATTAGCCTATCATCTCGAGGGAAGAACGAACGTTTTTGTGTTAGAAAAGATAAATTTGCACTAAATTCTTATGTAAAAACTAGAACTGCTCTTTCAAAGTAAAGTTTAAATGGATTTGAAAGAGTTATCCTCTCAACATGAAAAAGAGGCTAGATAGTGGGTAGACCCTTTTCGCTTTCTGTTTCGGATTTCCTTAAAAGAGTTGCTATATGAACTGATATTAAAGCGATATACTTATTAGCATAGTTATTTTAAATTGACTTGGAGCTATTTGACTCTCGAGCAGTCTATCAACGCGGATTCGAAGTCCAAGGAGGGCATAGTAAGAATCTCCAAAAGCCGTGCTTCCCTCGAAAGGTGGCTCCTTACTGCTCACGAACGTGCATCAGTCACAACCTCCCTAGGAGAGATGTACAGTGATATCGAAGACAATCAGGCTAGTCATAAGGAGGCTCCTCCACAAAGAGTCAAGCGAGACAAAGAGGATGCACATGTAAGGAGGCTGACAAGTTGTTGTTCATCAAGACTGATGTCCAACCCCTTGAATCAGGCAGTGTGTGCACTTTGATTGCGTTGCATCATAGTCGTAAAACAAAAATTGAGTCATTTGCATCTTGACGCGTTGCAGTGAACTTCTCTGGTGGCAGCGAGATAGCGCGAATATACGTGGATTGTAATGGAGATTCACTGTCTGTTGCCGTTCCTTCGAAAGTTAAAACGTTTGACGAGCCTGCGAGACTCCTGTCATTCCTCCGTGACGAATTCGTTCTTAGGAGGCAACTGACGTTATTCAGAAAGATTCGAAGATTAACTGAAATCTGCCAAAGAATCTCGACACAATTGGCAACAGTTAAACTCACAACTGACAGCGCACGATGAATGATTTCAGAGTCAGAAATTATATTGAATTTCCTAGAAGCGAGTTATTTAACAGGGAATTGACCTTTGATATGCAAACGCACATTAAAGAGACAGAGACCTTGTAATACACGAACTTTTTCCACCAAGGATAAGTACGGGATTTGTAAAAGGAGAAGCCCCACTAGGTCATAGTATAATGTAATGTTTTTTGAACAATCTACCACATTTACCCATGCTAAGCCTCTTGGGTGCAGTGATTTTTGTCCAAGAACATAACACACCACTCAGGCAAGGACTCTAAACCCCTTTATCTGGTGTTCATCTCACCAACCACAAGGGTAAAACGTATTCCACACTCTGAACTTAATGACTCTGCTTGAAATATTTTGCAGATCACTCCTGAGACAACCCAAGAGACTTTTAAACCAATTTGTACCCTGCTCCTTCCTTCAAATTGCAAAATCATTTTGTTGGCAGATGTGGAAGGAGATGGAATGCTAGAACTTGTTACAGGTCATGCAGATAGAGCAGTGTATATCCAGAAACTGCATGTTGTGAAAGAGGGTCAGGAACAAAGTGTTGTCCATCAGCCAAGCACAGGTTTTGATTCATGAATGAATATTAATCACAAACAGACTGTTTCTTTCAAAGTTGAGGAAGTCCATCACTGGACGATTCCAAGACAGATTGGTTCCCTTGTGGTCTTTGATGTGGAGAGAACTAGATATCTTTTGGCCTCATATCCTGGAGGTTCTTATGTCATTTTGAATTCAAGGAATCTGAGCCATCTGGAGAAAGATGGTGATGAGGTAAAAAGACACTGCATACTTGAAATTTTTATTGGAGTTTGTAGCAATATTCCTTGGTCATAATTCATGTTCAATTTTTCTCTTTTTCATCCTTTTTTTTTTTCTTGAAAGTTTCTTAGTCAGTTTGGGTAGAATGATAAAGATAGACTGGAAATTTTGAGATCAGTACTCCAATGGATGGTGATCCTTACCACATAGTGGGTTATTTATTTGCCAGGATCAGCAAGTGACGTAGTGAGTGGTCATTGTGAAGGCATAGCTAGTCCTCTTGAAACTGCAACACAAGAAAAAAATTCTTTGTGACTCATCCTTATTGATTTTGTACAAAATATTCTTATTTACCTACCTTCTCTGCTAGGTATCAAGCTCCTCTTGCAAGTCCACTTTGAGACAATTACCGCATGTCTGGGGAAGAAGCAAAGACATTCCTATAAATTTACTTACTCTTAAGTGTTGTGATCCCAATGCACCAGCTTCCTGTTCAGAGAAACACTTAGTGCTGTGTACACAAGATGGTCATGTGACTCTCCTACATGGAAGTAAGCACCAGTGGTCCCTCCGTATTGATCAAGGCTTCTACAATCTCTTTGCTCTGTCTAAGCTTGACATTACAGGTGATGGCAATGATGAAATAGCTTTATGCTCATGGGAGGGGAACACTCACATCATTGATCGTCTCAAGAATGTGGTACAGTTCAGTTTTGGTGAAAATGTAATGGGTTTCTGCGCAGGGAGTTACGCTTTTTCACCAGGAAAGAACCTTCCTGCATTGGTTTATGCAACATCATCCAATCGAGTGATCATTTATTGGAATGCACGGCAGTCCTCAATGGTTCCCACTAATCTTAGCCCTTTGACTCCTGGATGATTGCATTAGAGATGATGAAACACAAGCTTTCAATGAAGAGAGATTTTAATTGTGTGTAGTCTCGATAGAAGTAGAAACAAGTGTGTTCTTTTCTAAGAATATCTGATTATGATGACGTAAACAAAACTGTCAATCAAAGCGTTAAAGAAAGGTACAGAACGCGTGACAACACCGTGACTTAATAAATGGCGCTTCCAACTCCCAAGATCTGATTGTTAATTCTCCTCTCTAGCTATTACACATTTCCTTGTAATTAGTGATGAGAATTTGGTGTCAGATCAAGATAACAATGTCTATACCTCATGTGATAAGTTTGAGTATTCTCATTACCTGTTTTCTGGATAATGTATGGAAATATTGAAGGAAGAATTTTCATGTTAATCACTTCAGAGAGTTAAACAGGTGATGTAATAACTTATATTATTACACGACTTGGGAAGTCAGAGGGCCAATAACTAAGATCAACCAATCAAAATGCTCTATTGCCGGTCAATATTCTCTCAGTATTGGACCAGGCACTGTCCCGAATAGTCCCCAATGATACCACACTAGTGTCCCTTTGAACTTCAGTTGTGTAATAAATCCCTTATTAACCAAGCTTGCTTGGGACCGTACTGGAAGAATATCGGCCCTCGGTCTTTTTTGTACAGACCTCGCTGCACTTGGTCCATACTGTCAAGACCTCAGGCCAATATTCTGCCAGTACAGCCCTCGTGCTTGGTTAATGAGATAATAATATGTAGATGTGACTGGTTACAGTCTAAACAGAACCCACACTTTTGCAAAGACTATTTTATTGTAAGAAGACAGTAAAGACTGGTATGAAAATAATCCATGGCAAGACACAAATATTATTAACCTGCCATCGGTATTTGCAGAATATTACCATTAAGGTATGATTTGACAAACTTCATGTTTTTTCTAAGAGCACAGAACATGGTATTTATATGTAGGGAAAGATATTTTTCCTATGCAGTTTTTAAATCATTAGTTAGTGTTTTGTCAAGATTTTATGTGATATTTAACCAACAAAAGTTATTTATTTGTTTTACTGACTACAACTCACTTGCTGTCTCTCTTTCATTTTATTACAAAACCATGTCGCCATTTTTGAAGTTTGGTGGTGATTCCCCCCCTAGAATATGTTCGATGGTCCAGAAATATTTTGACGATTGAGAAAACTTTTTCATTCGTCGAGAAATAATTCTCTCTGACGAGAAATGTTTGTGGTAAGTTCAGGAATATTTTAAAGAATCGGGAAAACTTTTTCGTGGGTCAAACAATTTTTTTACTGGTTGAGAATTTTTTGGTAGATCGAGAAATAATTTTGTCGATCGAGTTTTTTCGTCGATCGAAAAATATTTGGCGAGCGAGAATTTCAGCGAAGATCGAGAATTTTCCTGAAGGTCGAGGATTTTTTTTTGTCTGTCGAGAATTGTTCTGTCAATCGAGCTGGTCATTGGGCGTTTCGCGCCAAAGTATAATCACATGGGACATCACAAGGGACATCACATGGTGCTTACGGATTGTTAACTCAAAGTAAACAGTTGCGGGCGTTCTTGACTTGCTTACTGTATTTCACAATATAGCTCTTCCCGCGTGCTGAAGTATTTTCAGAACGTACCAAACTCCTAATGAGCCACTTTTTCCCACGGCCATGGTCATATGACGTGACATGTGAAGTTTCACTTTAGCCAGCAGCTGCAAATTAACTATTCCCGTTTAGTTTAGCCAGTTTAGTTCAGTTTTAAGGTTTCAAAACGTTCAAGTTTGTTTTATCGTTCCATCCCGATTGGGATAATTGTCTTCAAGCGCACAATGATCGTAAATATGAATACGCTTTGAGAAAAGTATGAACGTGTAGCTCTATCATGGGTAGCACTCCTAAGCCGCCTTTTTCGTTCTTATCACATTTGACGCTGTCTTTGATTGAGTAAATGAAGAGACGCACGCAGTATGGAATCTATTTGTAAAAATATACGCAGGCCAAACATGAGCCAGTCGCCAACTGATGGATAGCGTGATGCAATTAACATATTTGAGTCCTTTCTCAGAAGTCACGCTTAGGTTTGCCTCTGATCACTTCCGTTTTTGCGCACGCAGAAATGAAAATCACGCATTGGTTGATAACCAAACAACTCCACTTCCGTTTTTGCGCACGCAGAAACGGAAATCAAATATTTTGAACAGCAGCTAACGGCCGAAGTAGTCATCGTTCCGTCGCGCGACGAGTGAATACAAAACGAATACAAAGAAGAGCGGGGAGAGGAAGATAGAAATTGTGATTTAAAAATTAAAAAACCAAGAAATTTTCTGCAGTGGGAGCTGTTTCATCTAGAACGGAAGTTGACTCTCGCTCGCTTGATTGGTCGCATATTATCAAATACTCCAAAGTGCGTTATGCTACTTTTCGTTTACAGGAAAGTAATTCCTTCGGGAGTCTGGGCTTCGGAGCAATGTCATCTTAAACCAACACGACTATCTTGACATTGTCGTCACTGTAATATTT